ATAGCTTGGGGATATCCTGGGAAAGGGGCCTGAAAAACTTTGACTTTTCCTCATTGTTTGATTTATGTTTTGGCCCCATTCAAAGTAAAAGAAAAAACCTGTAATTAGGTGAAGTTTCCAAAGCAAAGCCATTAATTTAAGCACAAAATCCACAGAACTGTGGGAATTACTTTATGCAGCCGATTCATACTGACATTTCCCAGTGGGACAGAAGTTGATGAACACAGTGAATTGGTTTTTCCCCTCCAGACAGACTCGTCTTGGAGAGGTTACTGCTGTCACCTGCTAATCAGTAAACATGTGGGTGTTTTATTTATCCTTTGAAAGAACTGAATCCCTCATGAAACAAATGGGACAATGCTTGTACTTTATTGCTACTGCTTTTTGTATTTTGTGTTTGAGCCCTGGTGTCCCAGTGCAGCCCCTTTAGTGAGGCTGGGGTAGGAGCTGACTGGCTATTCAGCTGTAACTCTGCTTTATTTGCCCACTGACACTTTTCCTCTGGTGTTTTCCCAGACCTGCTAATTATACTGGTAGCATCAGCCCTGCTCTGCTGGCTCACTTGGACCTTGCTCGCTCGTCCTGACGAGAATGACACGGAGCTGGTGTAGATCCTAATGACAGTTTTCAAACCAGATATAGCCAGAATGTTGCTTTTGTCTTGAATAAGGAAATGATACGGCTTTGATAGATCACATCTTTTGAGTATCCTTGTTTTCTCTCTTAAAGACGATTGCTTTGATTTTGTAGTGATAGGAAATTTGGAAATAATTTGGAAAGTAGTTCTGAGAGAGTGTGTCAATAGGCAATCAGCGTAACTACTGTAGAGCAAAACCATCTCACTTTAAATTTCAGCATTAAGCATGGTTAATGTTAATGTCCACAGCAAAAACATCTAGCTAATGCACTTGGTATTTAGCCCTAACGTGTTCTCTCTTCCTGTTTTGGGTGCCAGAACTCCCTCTCCATTGAAACTCCTCTTATATCTTGCAACTTTGTCAATACAATGTTTTGTCAACCCAGAAGTTTGTGGCATACTGAAAATTGAAATGTTTTAAAAATTAACATTAAAAGTGTATTTTTAAACAAGTATACAGGAAAAAGGTTGGATAAACCAGTGAGTGTTTCATAGAAATGTGGCAATATTACATAAACAAGCAAAACTTTTAATTTTGCCTGCGTGAGTAGAATAATGAGGATAGTCTAGATCAGGCTGCCACAAAGTTATTGCTTTTGACAGGAGCTGTTCAGTGAGACACTGAAGTGATCAGAAAATCAAATTCACACCAGAAACCCAGCTGACATCACCGTCAGCAATTTCATGCTTGTCCATCACAGTGCTCTGGTTGGGCTTTTTGACAGCTCTAATGCTATGATTGCAACATCAGCTGGGAGCAACAGATACAGCTGGGCATCATCTGCAGAGGAATCGAAGTCTAGATTGTCTTGTCTGATAATTGCGTCAGGAAGCAAAGACTCTGTGCCAAACACCAGAAAATATCTGTCATCAACACATAATAGAAGGCAGGGAAGGCCAGCAAGGTCTTCAGATGCAGTAACAATCTGGAACTGGTCAATAGCTCATAAAAACAAAGGGAAAACAAGACATAAAGCTTCTTGTTTGTGACTTCAACAGAAGTTGCTGAGATTAAGCCCAACAGATCTTTGAGGATTCCAATTGGGCAGTTTGTTACCTTTTGCACTAACTACTGCTTGAAAGCATCTGTTTGGAAGTGGAAGGGAAGGAAAGTAGCACATTGCCAGGGAAGACAAATGAATAATGACAGAAGGAAATATAGGAGGATGACAAAAGGAAATTATTCATCAAAAGGGTAGTGATGCTAAAATGCAAAATGTTCATATGAGAACTAAAACTCTGTTTAAAAAATGCTTCTTCATACTTCATACTTCAATTTTACTTCATAGGTAAAATTGTTGAATTGGTGAATCCTCCTGGACTGCAGCTCATCTGGGTGTCAGCTGTGTTAAATGTGATGGGATGCTGTAGAGCTGATCATCGGTAATGTGCTTTCTGGTACTGGGTAGGAGTGCCAGCCCATGGGTTAGCAAGGTTTTTATGCTGTTTCTCTATGTTCTTCTCGAAGAACTTCAGTTTCTGTAGTTCTGTTCTGGAAGGAGACCTTATTTGTTTTTAACAGTTATTAAAAATAGCACCTTGTCCCACAGACCATCACATAAACCAGTAAGGTCCTCGTCTCCCCCCACAACTAATGTCCCATACTTCAATCAAATGAACAAGTCCTGAACATTTCTCATAATTACTGTACTTATTCTCCTGGTATTTTTTGCATATCAATGAAAAGGTATTTTGGGGGGGGGGGGGAGGCCAGAAAAAAAAAAAAGACACCACCTGGTCTACTTTGTTACTCAGATACCTGTTTCTTGTTGTATGTGCATGAATGATGCACTCATGCCTGGAAGTCCTGAGCTGACAGGTAGGACTAAGACTGTCTGCTTATTTACAGGCTCCCTCCTCTCCTTTTCATTCTTCTCAGCTCGTGTTTCTCAATGCACAAATGATATGTTTACAGTTTGGATCTTTAGATCTACAGGCTTTAGTTTTAGAGTGTGAATTCACCTCCATTAATTGCGAGCTGTATTTAATATTTATGCTAAAAGGACGTGAGGAGTGTTTGAATGAGCATGTTTTCCTTTGGAAAAAAAGGAGCTGAAAAATTACCAACCACTCTGGTTATAGTGTCTTGTAAAGATGCCAGCAGGCAGAATGTGATTTAAGGTGCACATTTTTGGAAATCAGCGCCTTCATAACAACACTGAAAGGAGAAAGAAAAAGGTGTGGGGGGATCCATGTTAAGATTAATATAGCCTCTTACCTTTACTTAGTGCGGAAGTTCCCCGAAAGGATGAGTGTTTTAGATCACTGGTTCTTTCTTAATATTTTTTCTCCTTTTGCTTGCTTTTCTTTATTGTTGTAATCATGTAAATGATGCCATTCATTGTATCTATCTTGCCTATTGGCTTGAGATGCTGAATATTAATTGAGCAGCATGATATCTGTTTTTCAAGCTTCATAGATAAGCAAACCATTTTTATATTGAAGTGCTTCATCCTCTTTTACTGTGATATTTTAAGACTTTCTTATCTTTGCCTATCATAGATGAAACCCCAAACTTCTGAGACCTTGATTTGGTTATAAACAGGCTTTCAGTAGCAGATTTTTATAGAGGTATGTAGATGGTTGTCCTGCTCTTAAACTTGGTTCTTTATTTCAATACATTGGCTTTAATTTTTTTAAGCCATTGTGATTCTGTATTCTCAGTCTCTCTCTGCAGTTCTGAAGAAGAGAGGAAGAAACAGGCTTTTGTCTTTCGAAGGACAGTTGAAAGACTTTTTGTTAGTATTTGGCCTTGCTTCAAAAAAATGCACTTTTGAGTATGACAAACTAGCTACTACATAGGCATCTTGAACTTAAGTGAGTAAAAATGTTTTTGAAGTATTGAGTTTTTTTTAACAGTTGGGGTTTTTTCTCATAGAAGTGTGCTCTGATTTACATGCTTGTAGAGCTGTATAGGTAGGAACGATAATGTGGTGTCCACAAACAAAATTGTGATGATATTGAATATAAAATTTTTCCAAAAGTAAGGGTCGGTTGCCAAGGGCTCTCGATCAGTTTTCCTTCTTTTTACCCAGCTATGTGAATATCAAATTTCTGGGACTTTTGTGCACTTTTATCTTGAGAATGACATTGTCTATAAGCTGTTTGAGGTGAGGTTATGAAATATAGTTATATTCATAACCCTTCTTTAGGGAGGGGAGTGCAATACAGTCTTATGTAACCTAGTGCCTGATCTTAACTGCTAATAGTTAATAAGTTAATTTAAAACTATGTTAGTGTTATGCTAGATTGCTTTGATCTTTTTTCCCTGTTTTTTATCCATCATTGAATGTTGACTAAAATCATCATGTACTCACTGATTGAACATTTATTAACTTTTCTGTAACTCTGTAGGTTTCTGTAGTCTCTTCTAGTATCTGCAGGTAACTAGTCTGCTTTTAAAACAGCTGTACTTTTAGTCGGCAGTATTCTCTACACCTCTTACATGCAAAGAGCAGACGAGCTATTGAGCCATAGTCATGTTTATGGCCTGATGGAACCAGTAGTGGTGATGAGCTGCTGGGATGGCAAGATCTGCAAGTTAAAAGTAAACTCGTTACTGAAGATGAGTATGCCCATAGTGTACATAGTACAGCTGCAAGAAGTTGGCCATGTTTCTTTTTGAAGACAAACTTTTTGCCATAAAATTTTTCACTGTGTCTGCTGTCGGTCCATCTAGAAAACGCAAGACTCTGTCTAGGTTTAACATATTTGCAGATGTGTTGGCCAGGTTTCTTTTATATCTGTCTTAGTAATAAAAGGGGAATAAAAGTTGGGGCTTAGGAATAGGATGAGGCTGCTGCTTTTCTTATTCTTATTCCATTCTATTATTCTTATTCCATTTTATTCTATTCTTATTCCATGAAGAATAGCTATCTGAACTTCTCCTCCACCCTTCAGTCTGGTATTTTCATTCCTTTTAAGGCTCTAAGCGAGAGCTGGGTCCCTTTTCCATATGGGAGGGAAGGAACATTTCAGAATGAGATTTGAGGTTTACAGAATATCTAATTTATACAATATTCTGTCTTTAAGAGGGAATTTTGTTCAGTTGGAGATGTATGGGGTATGAATTTGATGATTAAGAGAATTGTGCAGGGTTATTTTTGAGGCTGGCCAATGCTGAAAACAGATTTGGCCTTCCTGAAGGCTTTTTGAAAACCTGTGTTGTTACTGCATGTGTGTGTGCGATCCCACACACCAGTAGCAGACATATTTTGTTTATTCAGCTCTACAGTAAATATTTTGTGTTTTCTTTTTCCAAGTAACCAATTTATATACATGCTTCTGTCTTAACTAGGTACCTGCATCTCAAATAGATTTGGTTTTACATTTAAAATTATTATCTTACATTTTATGTTACTAGGCCAGGTACAAGCAGAGTCTTGATCCTACGGTGGATGAAGTTAAGAAACTGTGTACATCTCTGCGTCGAAACGCCAAGGAAGAGCGGGTACTTTTCCACTACAATGGACATGGTGTCCCCAGGCCAACAGTAAATGGGGAGATCTGGGTCTTCAATAAGGTGCGTCTTTGTGAAACAGTGCTGAACAGCTGAATTTTTTTACTGTTGTATAAATTATTGAAGTGTTCTGTTAGAGAACAGCTGGATTTTCAGGGTTTAAAATGTGTTCACAGGTATTTGTTTGGTTCCCTGCTGACAGCTGTTTGCTTTCTTCATGTTCTTGAACTTCTGTGAGACCAAATAGGTTGTCCGTCACCTCCCAGTGGGACAGGAGGGTCTACTCTCAGATGCTCTAAAGCTCATTTGCAAAACACTGAAAAGCCAGCTACTTCCTTGCTTCATCTGCTTTTCAGAGGTAGCACCCCAGCTCTGTCATGTCTGGGTAAACTGTGAGGCTCCTCAATGGACTTGGCTTTGCTGCATTACATCACTGACTGATTATTAAGTTCTTACCATGAAGTTTATGCTTAAAATGTCTACTAACTCTGAACAGCCATTGTTCAAACTACCTAGAGATACCGCATGAGGACAATAAACCATATGGCTAGCTCTGCTTCCAGACCACAGAGCACTGAAAAGCCCCCCCAAGTACAACATAAGAGGTATCTTTTGGTTTTTTTAAAGAATGTGTTATTCCTGCTTAGCCATAGTTTGTAGCCATGGTTTGTACAGCTCTGTAGATGACATGCAACACCCTTCGAGTGATTCCAAGTGTGACCTAAATGTACTTTGCTTTCCCTTTAGTTAAGCTATTTAGTTTCTATTAAGGGTAACTGATTTAGAATGGAATCTTAGGAAATGGAGAGATACTGCTTGTAGCTGAAAAGTACATTCAGCTGACATAGGACTTGCATTCAATATTATATATATGCTCCTATTTTATTTTGGGAGCTTACTGAGCTTCTTTTCTCATATTTCACTTGTATTATTTTTATAATTGACTGATCATTCACTGGTAATTTGAAAGAGCAGGGTAGAAGGGAAGGGGAGAAAGTGCAAGAGGGCATCACTTTATTCTGGTGCATCTATTTGGAGACTTGATTAGTATTCAGACCAATAAACAATTGGTCTGAATACTAATTCATTTTGGAGCTGAATTTGGTGTTTAAGAACAAATAGGAGTGACCTTCTTCTTACTTAACAGCCAGTGGGTAATAAATAAACCAGAAAGAACGCTGGGCGGAATGTGTTACACATGAAAGAAGAGGAAATTACTACTCAATGAAGTTGTGTGTTGTGCCAAATGCTTTATTAAGAGCTTACTGGGTATTTGCCAGTTTGCCTGCAGTATCAGCTGGGATAATGTGGTGTGGACACCACTCGTGATTAGGAGCTGAGTTCTCTCTGACTTACCTTACAGGCAGTGGAAAAAAAAAAATCTGATTGTCATAGAGGTTGGTGGGGAAAGTTGAAGTTCAGTATTTTTTGCAGCATGTTACCAAATATTGGCTTTTTTGGGAAAGAACGAATCAGGAGTGGAACTTCTCTTTTAAGCAAAAGATTCAATTTAAGGAAATACTGCAGGGGTGTGTGTGGAAATCAGCAGTGTTTAGAAATCAGTCTTAAAGAATTCAGTCTCAGATCTAAGCAGAGGGCCTAATGAGGCTCAGTATTATAGCCCTCTTGAATTGAAATAGTAGAGGTACTGAAATTTGACTGTGCTGACGTTTTAAAATTAGATTTAAAATGCTCATGCATGCACTTGAAGTCTCAGTTATAAGAGCATGAAGGCAGAGCTGAAAGGGACCTTGAGATCATCCAAGTGAGGGGCCAAAAGGAGTGAAACATGCCTGGCTGGTGGATGTGGTGTGTTACAGGCTGACCTGTGTCTGTCGAAGCAAATAAAATTTTTTTGGAATTATACTGACTTCCCGTGGGTTGAGCATCTTTCTCTTGTTCCCCAGAGCGTGTGGTCCGGGTGAGACTCGTCAGTCTGTTAGCAAGGTTTTGGTGCAGGTGCTGCAGGAGAGTAGAGGGCAGTGTGGCAAATAGGAGGTGCGACATCTATTTTACTTCAAGGATAGGAGACAACAATGGAATTTCAAGAGTCTGTCCAAACATTTCAATATACTTTTGTTCTCAGTCTGTAGATGCTCATTTTTCCTTCCCTTTTTTTTTCTCCCATAAAATTGGTGTGCAGCCATTATGGGGCTGATGACGTAGGTGGTGACAGAGAGGACTTCTCCTGCTGGGTTTGAGCAGCCGGCCCTGCCTTCCCTGTGCTCCTGCAGCCCAGCCTGCATGCAGCACAAGTTGGCAGAGCTGTACGGGTTAGCGACCTTGTGCCTTATGGCTGCCAGAGCTTTCTGGGATGCACAGACTAGCAGACCCGATGCCTATTCTTTTCTGCCGGTTTACTGCGAGGGAAGAAGTAAAAGCTTTGCAGTGCTGTTGGCAGCTGCTGGAAACTTAGAGGACCTTAATACCTCTTCAGTTTTTTCTTTTTCACCCAAGTCCCCTGTAACAACTAGCCATCTTTGGAAATCTACTTTTGCTGTCACAACACTTAGGTTTGTTTATTACTCATGTTTTGTGAGAGGCTATGGCTTTCAGCTCTTACTAAAGCTTATGGTGCCAGGAATGTCATGGTGTTGTCAGAATACCCCAAGCAGTTCTGTGTTTGGGGTTGGAGGAGGTATGCTGCCGCTAGGGGAGAAGGACATGGCTGCTCGTAAGCATCTCTCCTGTAGCACCACAGATTATTTAAATCTCCCAACATGCGCCAGCAAGCTGTCAGAGACAGCAAATAGACGTAGTGGTGCAGGAGCACTTTGTAATGATGCTGGAGAAAGTTCACAAAGTGCTAGATCTTCATTAATATCTTCCCCTTAATTTCTCAAGAGTTGGTATTTCAAAATTAATTTAGACCTCTGGCCTTGCACAGTTGGTGCTCTGTCTGAACTGATGTTTTAAAATGGTAATATAAGGAGAATGCTTCTCTTACATGCTTTATTATCTACTCCTCTGAAAAACTGTCTGCTTATGTAGCTGACTGAATTAGTTGACAAAGGGCCTGGCAGATGGACTGACATGTTCTTGAAGGTGTCCCAGGAACACCCGGATGGGCAGCCCTGCTCCAGCTCTGCCGTTTCTCTGACGGTGGGGCTGCAGAGCTGCCAGAGCTTATTAGCAGATTGTCCCCCTGCTCTGTTGGAGGGAGACATTTGCAGCTGATCTCTGTGCACTGTAAGAAGCCTTCCTTGCATGGCAGTAGTGTATTTGGGAGAGATTAAGCATGCTATATTCTGATATGTAGATTAAAAAAGATAAAACCTTCAGGAAGTATCATGTAGCCTGATTCACTTCAGCCGCACTTCTCAGTCACTTTGTTCAGTTAACAGCATTCAGATGCTTCCAGGGAGGTGTGTGGAAGAGGAGGGAGTATGGTACAATTTGGATAAGGCACTTGAAAAGCTAGTAGCTAAGCTAACTTGGTCTTTAAAAACCAAACTTGCCTTCTCTCCTACAGACAGGTTTTCCTTGAGTTTAATTTTTTTATAGATTTTGACAAGTTGTGCTTGCTGTAGTATAAATACCTCTGGTTACCTTCACCTTTCAGGGTTCACCTATGAAGCAAGCCTTTCCTTTTGGTATTTAATCTAGCCTGGCAGATGAAGAGGAGAGTAGTAAATAAATAATCTGATACTCATTTGCATTAATTTTATTAGAATTTAAACCTGACCTTCTATATATGCTTTGTAGAAAGGAATAGAGTGTGTCTGACTGCATTGCCTTGCAGCAGAGAGTGTGAGTGTGGGAAGGTGCCTGCTCCTCTTCCCTGCGCCCTTCCTCCTCCCCTCGAAACACACGCTTCAAAAATTACTTCAGCTCAGTAACGTCGTGGGGTCAGAGACAGCGTTAATGGAAGCAGAAAGTATTTTCAGTTGTAATTTTTTTTCCCTAGCTTTTAATCACAGCTGCTCAGCAAATGCAGTGCTACTCCAAGGCAGCACGTGAAGGCGTTTATAGCGCTTTAGTTTGTTAATTTTTGGTTGGCAGTTTGACAAACAAAATGTGCCTGAACTCTTTCGGTTAGAGAGATAATAAGACATATAGAAAGAACTGGGGATGGATTCCTGTAAGTTCATTGCCACAAGGTTCGTTTCCTGAGATTTCTGAGGGATTCCACGAAGTTCAGAAATCCCAGGACAGAAGCTGAACTCGGCAATCTTCTGAGGAAGCTTTTTAGCTTTAGAGAAATCTCTTTAGAGAATACTCTTCAAGCATTGTTTCATCTTTGATAGGAAATGGAAAGAGAAATTGTGCCATGCTTTGGAAGGAATGATTATCTTGAAAATGTCCTTTTCCTTGGTCTATTATGTCTTACTGGTGTACAAAAAGACGTGAAATGTGTGCATTATCAGAAGCAAATTCCGCTGCTAATGTGAGAATATGCAACACAAACTGTGCATCATCATTGTGTTTCTGTTAAGTCCTTTGGAAACTATTTACATACCACTCATCCTGTCCACAGCTCTGCTGAAACATCCTCTGTTTGACCAAATAAGCGCCAGAAGCTGCAGTCCTCCTTCATGCTGTAGCAGATTGCCATGGCTTGTTTTTTTAACTGGCTGCTCTTGTTGACTTGCGTTACAAGCCAGTACTTAATTATGGAGTTGTACTTTATTTTACTGTAGGCTTTCTGCTCTGGCTCTCTGTACAGTATTGGCATACAAAAGAGGGGTTGAGACAGTCCTTGTAAACCAGTTAATTTGGCACTGTCTGGCATTTTGCCAGATTTTGAAGATGCAATAACATGCTTTTCATATATTTATTGTGAGTGCTGTTGTATTAATAAGGAGCAATGTTCTTTTTCTAGTTTTGCTTGCTACTATTTTCTGAGAAAATCCCAATGTGGTTTCAAAAAGGTAAAAAATCACCCCCCCTGCCCCGACTTCAAACATGTTCATTCTGAAGTTCTGGGGAGCTTCTCTGCAAAATCTGAAGAATGGGGGTTTTTTTTTTTCATATTTTTGAGTTTTGTTAAGCATTTGCTTCTGAAATCTGTTCAAAATCAGTTTCTAGTTTAGTTTTTTGTTGTGTCATTCCTTTAAACAGTCACAGAGGGATGGTGGGAGCTGTGTTAACAGAGCAGAAACTTTCTTGCTGAAAACCAAAGTCAATACTGAGAACAAAACATACGGACAGGCCCAGCATGGCAGAGACAAGATGAGCAAGCATCAAAAGATCACCCTGAGCAACCGTGCTAGAAAACTATTATTTAACACTCCTTTTTTCTTCAAACTATCTCATTTACATATCATTAGCAAATTCGATAAGTTATATGTGACCCCACAGTAAAGTTGGAACATAAAATTCTTCTGGCTGGAAATATCACAATATTAATCAGAGCTATAATCCAGTCTTAACTGTAGCAACATGCATTATAAATACAAAGTTAAAACAGTGCATGCCCATAAAATCTTATTGATTACATGTGTCAGAGCAGGTTGTTTGTTTGGTTTTTTTGTTTTTTGGGGGTTTTTTTTGTAACTTACTGTGATTGGAATGTGCTTAAACTGAGTGATGTGCTTAACAAAGGTCTGGGCCAAGGGTGAGTTGTTCATGTATCGTTCTATACTGCAACAATTTGCAAAGCTCCTAACTCCCTAAAACTTTGGCTTTTATAAACAATTTTTCCTATTAATTTTAATGAAACAACCAAAACTTTTAAATATGGGCAAAACTGGATTTTGAAATTACTTACTGTTGCATACCTTATCTAACATATGGTTTATGATCACTTCTGTCTTTATATATGCTGATATGTGTCCTTGAAAATTTGATTTTTGTAAAAGTTTACTGGTTTTATTACAGCTATTTTAAGTCTCTGGAATTTAAATGGGAGTTATGATCCCATCCATCATTCTGCTGATGTTAATAGGAACATCACGGCTTTTACTGTAGATTTTGGGCAGAGTTCAAAGCTGTACGAACATGAACAGGTTGCCCTCTGGCTGCGGATGGGAAGGATTATGCAGTCAGCCACTGTATATTTGGTAGTGACTCTTTGCAGGCTTAAATGGCAGAAATGTGCTTTGGTTTATATTTCCAGTTCTGCCACTTAGTTTAGGGTGTGGCCTTTCATAGCTAATTTTAAATGTCTGATATTTTATCCTCCTTGTATTTTAAGAAGCTCTTGCCTCCAATTATTTAGGGGGGGTTAAGATGGAAGACAAGGGGCAAAATACTTCATATTTACAGAAACTGAATTGTTGGTACTTCACTTTGTTGAAGGCAGGCTTTGTTGGTTTTAATTTTACTGGATAATTCTGGAAGTTGCACAGAAGTTAAAGGCTGTAATAAAATTATGAAGCATCTCGTTAAACTAAGATAGCATAGCTGCTGATGGGCTACAGAGTCTTAATTATCAGTCTTGATTAATTGATGAAGTTTTCAGTTTAAGATGTTTGATGTTAAGTTAGAGACAGCTGGTTTACATTCTTTACCAGTGTTGCAGAAATTTGAGATAAAATTGGACTATTAAATGCTGGTTGGAGTTGTTAGCATATATAAAAGCACTCTTTGCTGAGTTTTAGAATTTTAGTTTAGAGTTGAGTGTTTTAAACAATACCACAATAAAATCTACTTGTTGTTTTTGTTGGAATTGGGTTCATAGTCCTCATTATTAGTAGATGTTGAATGGTATTTGTATTGATTAATATGCCCAATGTTCAATCTAGGTTTTATTTTGTTATTTCAGAATTGGAATTTTTTTGTATGTATTTTATCATCTCACCAATGCAGGTTTTGTTGCTTCTCTGTCTCTTTGTAACTTGAGTGTTTTGGTTTTTTTCTTCTTATAGAACTATACTCAGTATATTCCTCTCTCCATATACGACCTGCAAACTTGGATGGGCAGTCCTTCCATTTTCGTCTATGATTGCTCTAATGCTGGCCTTATTGTCAAGTCATTCAAACAATTTGCACTACAGAGGGAGCAAGAGTTGGAGGTGAGATCAGTCTGTTGCAAAGGTTTCATTTGTGTTTGTGCTGCAAGGTTAAGTTTAAGCTTGCTTTGCTATATACAGCTGAAAAATGTGTTTAAAACTCTGTTGGAAGGCAAATTAATTTGCAGATAATTTTGCCACTCCAGTCTTTCTGGTTCAGTTTGCTATTCTATTAAACTTGAACAATTTTTAATACAAGCACTAATTAAATGGTAATGTTAATAGAATCAATTTGTGCCCTAATGGTCTTTTCTGCTAGATAAATGCTGAGGTGAACTAGACATATTTATTTTAGTTGCAAAAGTCTGATATCTGGGTACGTATTTGGATGCAGTTAGAGTTTTGTGCTGTTAAAGTGAATGTGAAAGTGCGAAACAAAATAAAAGAAACCTGATGCACAGAGGGATTGTCACTGGTGGTTTCAGTTTCTCAGGGTGCTTAAGTTGAATGTGTTTCTAATGAAAAGCTGTCTTTCGTTGCAAATGTAATTACTAATAAATTTATTGAAGTAAATCTGAAATGCAAAGCAGAAGGTAGTAAGTCAGGATTCTTTGTGCAGCAACTTGGGATGGCAAGACTCCCCACGGCCAGAAATTCCTGCTAGCTTTAGCTTACAGAGAAAGCATATTTTTCAAAGGTTAACTTTTTTTACTCTCACAGTTCTAGGACACTATTTAAAAAAAAAAATAAATCAAGGAAGGAATATTAATTAATTAGGCAACTGACTCACAAATACAACCTTCGAGCAGGTCTTAACAGTATCCCTGGCTACAATTCCTTTCTTCTAAATTCCAGTTTTTGGAGATGCTTTTGTGGTGACTCTTTGGGCAGGTGGGAATTCCATTCTACTGACAGAAAACAGTCTTAACAGCTTGAGATATGTAGATCATTTCATTATTCCTTCTCTTCAACCAGTGATAATGCCATTTTTTGTAAAGATAAGAAACTTCCCAAAGTCTGTGGCTTGGGAAGAATATGAAACTGCAAGACACAGATCAATAGTATTGGTAGTAGATGCTTTTTGAAGGTTACCATCTTTTTAAGTCAAGGAAAATGTGTGGTGGTCATGTTCTGTTCTCCTTTTGCAAGTTTCCTATCGGCCTGCGACTTCCATTGTGATATTTTTTGGAGCCTTTCTCTTTTGTTCGTACAAAGCACCCTTCTGGATTTTTGTTTCATTTTCTCATTCTGTTCCTAAGCAGGTTAAAAATGGGCCTAACTTTACCTTCCCTTTCCCTGCTTTCTTCATGAATTTCCTTTTTTCCTTGGCTCTTGCTGAGCTCTAGAATGACTTTGAAGCTGTTTTGGAAGGAAGGCAGCCGCAGGTGTCTCTGTTGGTTTCTGCTGTGAGACAGATAAATTGCTTAGGTGAATCTTGGGCTGGAAAAGTTCCTCTCTGCAAGTCAGACAAACCAGACTGTCTGCAGACAAGGACAGTTGGTTACAGAGAGAAAGATAAGCACGAGTAACGATGTCAGTCTGTATTTCAACAAAGATACTAAATTCCATTTGTTCGGTTTTATTTTTTTATTTTGTGAAATATGTGAGGTTACATGAGAAAACTGCTTTAGTATTTCTTCTCTTTGCAACACAGGATAAAACTATCAGTTATTTGATTATGAAAATACTTTCAGGCTTATATGTCAGCTTCCCATTCTGTATCTTTAGATTTCATTAGCTACTGATCACTTACTGAGATAACTGCTTATTATTAATAGAAAGCTGAAGACCAGGTAACAGAGATAGAAAAGTGCTTACAGTGTTATACAAAGTATGGATGAGAATTCATTCAGAAAACTATAAATTATTAAATTGTTCAAATTCATGAAAGGTGAAGTAAAGCTGGAACTGGTACTCAAGAGGGGTTAATAGGGTGATCAAGATAATTGTTAGACCATCTTACTGAAAGGAGATTAGAGGAGTTTGCCGTTCTCTTAATCTGACAGAGTGAAGGCTGAGGGAAGCCATGGCTGTTTGTTTTATTTTTTTCGGGATCTCTTTTCTTTTTGATAGCACAGAGCACTGGCCAAGTGCCATCAGATTATACATGGTTCCACCAGAAACGTAAAAATTAATTACAACGTATTTATAGGTAAGTTTGCAACCCCATTATACTGTGTTTTCATTGTTCATGGAATATAAAGGCTGGTATACTCTTTCTTAATGTAAAATCTAAATCTTGTTCAGCCTCCAAAGAGGGGGGAAGCACAGAAAGAAATGATAACTTGGGAGTGATAGAAAAGCAGTTAACACTTCTCTAAGGTACCTGAGAAAAGATAATATTGTAGCACTGCATGATACATTGTCTTCTTAAGAGAGCTGCCTCCAAAACAGCACTTGAATAGTAAATTTTTTTTTTTTTTTTTTTTTTTTGGCCTTTGTTAGTAAATAAAGTATGGCTAGTGTGTGTGAGTGAAGAGCTGTGTAGATAGAAAGAAGTAGATCAGTTTCAGTAAGAAGATGACTTTGTTTACCAGAGGCAGGAATCTGTCGTATCTTATCCTGGTGGACAGATTGCAATTGGAAATTATTTTTTATGTTCGGCAAGACTGCTCGTCTGAGGGAGGTGAGGGTGAAGGCAGATCTAGCTTTGAAGACGCCAGAGCCAGTTCAGCTGTAACTGGTTTTTGGTGGGATGGGGAATGGATAGTGGAGATAATTTTGTCACTTGATTATAGCTTTGTATCGTGTAATTATAGGGCAGCAATTAAGCTAATGAGGTCTACCAATCCTCATCATTCTTAATATGTTACGGTGTTTGCAAACTTTTAAGTTAAATGCTGATGATGTAAGGACTGTTGGTTTCCCTGGACTGTGGTAAACTTGACTATTTCAGAGAAATACCTGTGAACTGTTTTAATTATCAACTGGATGGGAAGTTAAGGATTTGGTTTAATATGTAGCTAAACAAAAGTACATATTTTGCAGATAAGAAACATCCCTTTAGCAGCATGATGTGGATATGATGTGGCATAGTATTAAGTGTGATAAATTAGTTTAAAAGTTCATTTTTCCAGTTGATCCTGCCTTTATTTGTTTTGGTTTTGTCCTGGTATTTGTAATAGAAGGCTGTTGTTTTCTTTTCCCAAAAGACATTTTTCAGACCTGGAAACTGACCCCAGCTTTTAGAAACTGGAATTCCTGGTTATTGTCCTGTTTGGCATCACTAAGCACGACAGCAGTAAGGCCAGTGTGAATGTTGGTGGCGGAAGAGGGTGCAGAGGGCTGCCTGGCAGGCACTTGACCTCCTGCCACTATAAGAAAATGGCAGGTGAAATGATGTCTGCAGAGCAGGCAGTAACCTGCTTAGAAAACCCCTTTGCTATGCCTGCCTTGGAGCTCTGAGCTCTGTTCGTAATGTGTAGTGGAAGCGATGGCACTGGGTGCTCTTGATCATCTAGTTAGCTAGCTCTGATGCTTCTGTGAGTGTATATAAATACACCGTAATTCTGGAGAATTAAGCAGGCATTTTGAGTGTGCTGTGCTAACAATGATAAAAGAGGAGGCTGGTTATTTCTGACTAATTTTCTGTGTAATTGTGACATTGTGTTTCCTCCGACTCATACTTGGTTTCATCCAGCAAAGGTCTGCTGTCTTAAGGCCACGTTTGAGGTGTACAGAAGTGAAGGCTGAAATGTCTCCTAGATGTGTGCTTTCCTGCACGAGATACAACTTTTTGATTTGCAGCTTTATGGTTTGAATTTTTCAACAGCGTTCCTTACAACTGCATACTAACTTGTTTTGTTCTTCGTGTAGGAATTTGGTGTTGCGGTGGGAGCGCCTGTTCGGTTTTCCCTCCAGCAGGGTATATGACTAACGAGTCCTAATTGGAGCTGAGGAACTCAGTTTTTATTTTTCCATCTTCAACATTAATTCTAAAAAAATTAGCTTAACGACAGCACAGCAGAATGTTATCTGGCATTAGCATCGTGTCTGGGGGGAGAGTTTTTCTAATCCACCATCTGCTGGGAGAGAGGAACGTCTCCTTTTCTGTAGTTGCATTAATGCCTTCCACAGGGGAAGAGGATTCTCACAGCAGGAGTTGTGTGAAGGTGGCAGGTCTGGTCAATACTTGAAGTTGCCCCGAGACAGAAACTAGGAGTTAGTTCCTCTCACGTTTACCTTGAAGAAGTTTGTTAATTCAAAAAAGGCTTGGTTTTCTATCAAGTGCTTGTTTCTCAGTCTAATTATATAGGTACATAAATGTTTTCAATAACAGTGGTTTAAAATACATATATTGTTTCCCTTTTTGTTAATTGCAAGCAGTAATACTTGCAAATCCGTTAGCTCTTCTTCCGGATAGACAGAGTGCTTGCAAGTAGCAAACCTGAGTGCTCCTTGGCTTGGACAGCTATAATTTGTTTTCAGATTACCACCATTTTACAGGAATGATAGCATGTTTCAGTATAATTGATAACATAATATTACAACTATTAATTTGTCTGAAAGGCTGAGGATTGTCAGTTGCCCTGAAATAACAATAAGTAACACAATAAGTACTCTGTTGATAGTAAGGAATTTTTACTTAAAAGCTTACACAGGAAAATATGCATCCCTTTGCTTTGAGACTGTGTTTCTGCTGAAAGAAGTTGCGAGTTATGGCCTGCTGCAAGGTCTACATCTGGTTGACTGCTTACAGAAAATTAAAGATTGTAGATAAATGCATACTGATAATTCTGGTAACCTTTCATATATGGTAACTTTATGTGCCTTATTTACTATTCTTACAGTTGTGAATGAGTACATTTTTGCCAGTTTATGTTTTTTAATATTTCTTTAGCCTTCTACTTACTCCATATCTTGCCCTAATAAAAGGTTACATTTATGAGGGAACCAAGCAGTCTAGAAAGTCTGACTTCAGTGGATGTTCTAAAGATGCAAAAATAGGTGTTCATAGTGGGCTTTACTCAACTGTCTTTTTTTTTTTCTCCTTTCTTTTTCTCCTTTCTTTTACTTGTAAAAGAATGTTTTGCTACATCATTATCCCTAGAAGTCTGGCAAGATCTGTAATTACTAGCTGGTATTGTATGTTCATTTTATGGTTGTTAGTAGTTCATCTCCTAATGGACAAATATTTACACTGCATGTGTCACAGCTTCTTTAGTTCGTTTTACTGTGTAGAAGCCAAGAGTGGAGCAGGTCTTGGAGTATGAGCTACTTCCCCATCAGAACTGAGGGGCACTACCAGACCATGACAAATGTCAAGGCATCAGTGTTTCACACTGCTCAGGAAGCAGAAAATCCATCTAAATGTACTTCCCACCTACGGAGCCCATTTATGAGGATGCCCAGAGGGCAAGTCTTTCTCTAGGAAATGAATAGCCATAGCTAAGCAGTTTGACTGCCTTATATTTATAAATCTGGGAAGAGCTAATGCTTTTCCACACTGTCTCTCATGCCTTTCTCCTCAAATAAAAGAACTTTTCAGTATTTTAATTACCTTTTTTTTGTTTTTAGCATACAGCTTAAGTTTTATTGAGAGTAAATGTCAGTAGAGGACAAGTGATGACTTGAGGGTAGCTTCATTTCCACCCAAGGTATGGCATGAATCTTTGCTGAGAGCAGCACAACTCAACCGAGAGCAAGGACAGGTCTTAGCTAATTTGGACAACTTGGGAAAGTCAAAGTGTCACTGCTGCCTCTGGGATTAGAATGGAAAAAAACATATTTAAAGAATCAAAAAGCTTAATAGGTTGCAGAATTTGTGAAACAGCATCTGAAACTTCTCTGTAGCTTATGAGGTTGCTTTGCTAGACAAGAGGTATATGATTTTGCCAGGCTCTGGGTTTGTAACACAAGTATTCTGTTCCCCATCGACCCTTCTGAGACACCAAATGGATTTCCTCTTCAGATAGACAGAATTTTTCACGTATAAAGATGGTAAAGGATTAGTTTATTAGTCAACTGTATCACCTTACTCAGTTGGCAAAAAAAAATGAAACTGGCTGAAGAGTTGGTCTTTGAAAGAACATACTTCTGTTAACTTTGATAACACAGCATATAGATCACTTTGATGGGTCTTTGCTTTCTAACTATTACATGAAAGGGCAATGAAGACACTGCACGTGTTACATTTCTTTCTGCTATTCCTTTAAGAATCTTTGAGTACCATAGATCAAAATTATGTTTTTCATTCTGTGAACTATTAGTCTCAAAAATCATACTCTTAATCAAAATTTTAATTAGGAGAATCACTGTGGTTTTGAAAAATGGGAATACTGATATATATGGTATTTCTACTTTATGGACTGATGTTCGGACAGATTAATCGATTGCCATAGTGCAGGTCAGAATTTTAGAAACTCAACTCTTTCACAGCAGACTTGACTGATTTAAAAAAAAACACTGAATATGCCCATGTAAGTGTCTGCTCTGTTTCCCATTCTTTCTTGCCTTTTGAAAATTGATCTACAGCATGTGGAGTGAAAGGGTTGAATAACATTTATGCAAAGCTGGTTCTTGTCTGCAGATGCACAAACGCCATCGGACCAATGCATTCCATCAGTCCATGGCTAGCATGAAATCTGCAGTAATGTGTGTCCCAGTTCTGAGTATTTTAAACGTGTGATTAAGCCCAATTAAATATAAACTAATTGAATCTTGGAAAATTATGTCTTGTTAGAACAGTTCTAGATCTTGAGATGCAAAGACCTTACCTTAGAATTATTTTTTCAGTGTAATATTCACTGCTTAGAGCAGAAATTACCGTGTTTTTTCCATCCAGAGGAATATGTATAAGGACCTTGAACACTTTTACTAAAGCATTGATTAAAACTTGTATCTGCTGATACGTTAATATTTGCATTGCAGAAGGCAGTGCACATTTCTTTTTCTCTTTATTTGGAAGATAGCTTCTCTAGTTACATACAGTAATTTTTTCTCTTCCTTTTTCCAGCTTGACCTTTTTGCTCTAGTGAAGTAGAAACATGTATGGGGAGAAACACAGGGAGTTCGGTATTCTTCTGGCTTACCAACAATGGTCATCTCTATACTCCGTGGCAGGAAATGCAGCCTAGTACAGCCAAATGAATTGCATTTTTCCTTTTGAAGCTATTCTGCCATCTGTGGTGAATGGTTATGAGCCACAGGAAGGATGTTTTTTGCTTAAATGTAAAAGAAAGAATAATTAGCCCAACTTGCTTCTACAGTGCTTGATTCCAAGCTGGCAGATGTGAACTGAAGACTCTGAAGTGGTGATCACAGTTCAGTCTGTTGCAAGTTGCTGGTTTTGGTGTGTGGTATCGTATGGTAAATACACTTAAATACTGTTAATTGTATGTGAGTTAAAGCTATGGCTGGTGCTTCGGTGTCATAAATTTCTCCGAATCCAGAGATCCATTGAAATTTGACAGGTCTCCATTGGTTATTTTCAAAATGGTACAGAAATTAACTTCACTGAATTCACTGCCTGAGTAATTTCCTTGATCTCTCCAGGTGGCTGCAATTAACCCAAACCATCCACTTGCTCAAATGCCTTTGCCGCCATCGATGAAGAACTGCATACAGCTGGCAGCATGTGAAGCCAATGAATTGCTACCCATGATCCCTGATCTGCCAGCTGACCTTTTCACATCATGCCTTACTACGCCGATCAAAATTGCTCTGAGATGGTGAGTATCTTCCCCATTATTGAAGGCAAGTGCATAATTTGTGTAGCTTCTCTGTTGAAATGATAGATTTGTTAATCCAAATGCTTCTCTAACCTAAAGTTTCTCTGCAATATTGAATTACTGGATTTGAACTATGCATTTGGGACAGTGTTTTATTAATCAGAACTAGAAAGGTGAAAATATTGTTATCTTCTACTTAATACGTTTTAGATTCTAGCTCAATATCTAGGTTTGCTCAGATTAAGGGATTTACTGTTCTGGGAATTAAATATCTGCTTCTTCAGAGAGCAGAAATACTACATACTGCAATACAACTTTTTGTAAATTGTCCTTTGTACAAATCATATTCCAAATATTGCAGTTGCTGTAAATAATACAGTAGCATTAAATAATGCTGTAGTGAAAGAAATTGAGCAATAAACCAAAGAAAGATGTTATGGAATGACATACCAAGTTAATTAGGCAGAAAGTTATAAAAGACTGCTACAAATAGCAGGAGCTTTCGAAGAGCAATATTTTTACTCAACAACAGAGAAGATCACAACCAATTCTGGTGCCAGCTGAGGACATGGTGTGAGGAATCCAGCATGTGCGCCCAGGTAGTACATAGCTCTGTTGATTCATTCCTATCGGCATGTTTCACTTGATCCTCTCAAGGTTATGTGTAGGCCAGAATGAAAAACTCCAGGTCATTTGCTAGACTAGGTTAAAACAGGTGAAAGCCTATAGACATTGCAGACAATGGTAAGCAATTGAGTCGCCACAGCTTCAAAAGTTATTAGCTGTCTTTTGGAGATACTCATAGTAACTTACAGTTCTTATACTCTTTCTGCCTTTAATAAGCAACCAACTACATGACTTAACTTGTCCAGGTTCTCGTTTAGATATGTAGTGCTTTTGACTGATACCTTTTGCTCCTGTGAGGGACAGCACAAGATCTGTTTAATTTTTTGTCCTGTTTTTGATTTTGTGAGCTCACAGGGTATTTTCTTACAGAAGAGAGTCACAGCTTGTAAACACTGGCAGAAGTCTTGGATAATTTTGAAAAGCAGGGCAAAGAGCTTCAGTGACATTAGGAATATTTTCAAGGGAAGGTTTTGAGAGAGCTAGGGAGAAAATGTTTTTTCTGACCCAGGAGTCATGGACCAGGACTCTGAAGTAATGGGAGACTAGCCTAGAGTTTCAGCCAAGGAATGGCAAACCTCTAAATAAGTTAGGCAGGTGTGTGCTCCTCTCATAGCTTTAAAAGCCTTTTCATCTTACTTTTTCTTTCTTCTGTTGTAAAAACAAAACATTATATTGTTTTCCTAAAATACCAGTCTGGTTGCTATACTAACCACTCATCAAAACTCACAAGTGAGCACTTGCAGGTGTGCAACAGGATCAAGCTGGTTGATTAGCCAGAGACATTTGATCTCGTCTAATCCCGGGAGAATGATGTGCTTCTCTTCTGGGACAGGTGAACAGAAAGAGGAGGTTAACTTCCAATATAGCTGTTACTGTGACAGCTCTTGGTGAAGTGACCGCCTTGACATGGAGCTCTGCTAGCTTGCTTTTCCTGATGCTGACGTGCTGCTGGTAGGCTAGCTCTGAACTCTGCCTGCTATGTAAAAATTCTCAAGCTGCCTGCATAAATCCTTGTCTTTTGAAAGCTGAAGAAAGTTACTATGCGGCAAAATTCCTTTAGGGGAACTTTGAGAAATACTATGTTTTATAACCAAGAAAATGTGGTCGCAGGGAACTACTTTTATCATATGGCTGCTAATCAGATCACTGCTATTCAAATGTGAAGAAGTTTAGATTTCTGCTGTTTTTATCTATGGAGAAAGACTTTGAAATTTAACTGAATGTTCTACCTGATTAGCTCAAGGCTAGCAGCAGGTGACAATGAATGCAATTTGGTAAATACAAATGATGTGTTTTTTTAAAATTACTTATTGAATGGAGTCCACAACCAATAAATAAAAAGTGGCACGGGATTCAGCAAACGGAGGTTTAAGTTCGGCTTCAGGGAGAACGTTTCACCAAAACACCATGTTAATGTGGAGAGGAGAGAGGAACAATTGCTTTTCAGGGTGGATACGCTGAGGCTTGCAGTTATTCTGAATAACTCATTATTGTGCATGTGTGTTAAATCAATACCATGCAGACACAGTGACACCACTTAATTCGTGCTGTTTTCACTAATTCATTAAATCTTTGTGAGAATCCCTAGCATGGGCTTTGATGCCACTGAAGATTAACTGGTTTATAGCAAACTGAAGCTTTTTTAAGTGAAGTGAAAACTATCAGCATTGGGACTTCAGGGTTCTCTTTCCCTTGCAATTACTGGAACCATACTTTACAGTTTGTGCCATATTTAAATTGAAAATACTGAGTGTCTGTAAGAGGTTTTTTTGGGTTTTGGTGGTGTTTGTTTGTGGTGTGGTGTTTTTTAGTTTTTTTTTTTTTGTGGGTTTTTTTTTTTTTTTAGGAAGTCCCTTCCAAACATTTATACTGCTTTATACAACAGTGTTTAATGCACAGTTTATATAAACTGAGAAAGGTTTTGGGTTTTTTTTTTTGATATTATGATCTGTTCAGGAATTTTCTGTTACTTCATCTCCATGGGAACGTGGCTAAGGGGGTGATCAGGGCAGGTTCTCAGGCAGAGGTACACCTGGCATAAGCATGAGATTGAGAGTTGTGTCTCGTTTGTGTTTGATAGGACATGTTGTGTTTGTAAAAAATGCAGCTCAGGGTAAGGATTTAAAACTATTAACCTCAGCTGTTCTTGGGATGGATGGTGGCAGATGCCGTGCAAACTCCTGGACAAGTAAAGCATTTCCTACAAAATCTACTCCAATGATTACGTGTGTTGCTTACTGCACACAAAAGAATTTATTCTCTATTCTCTGATGAAAATTGTTCTCCTTTCATATTTCCTATTGATTGGCATTATTATGGTTATGTTTTTATCCATGCAAGTCCTGTAAATAATAAGTGCTTGCTTGCAGAGCATTGTTATTCACTGCTGTTAAACATAATACATGCAAAGGCAGACTCTCCTGCATTCCAGCTGTTTGATGCAAACCGTATGTTGGTGTCTTAAAGCAGGCAGTTAACCTAAACTAAAGATGTAAACCTTTGTCATTGAAACTTCTCTTTTACTTCGGTCTAGCCCTTTTACTAAAGCTGATCCAGAACCCTTCAGAATTGCTTTTGAAATAAAGCATTTTTGCAATTCTGGACTGACAGGCTAATGAGGTTTCATATACTGAATTTATGGGCAAATAAAAGTTTGATGAATAAATTTCTATACATCCTATTTTGTGCTCTGTATTTTAAGTAAACAACTGATGGACAAAATCACTTATCAAATGGGGTTGCAGCTGCACCCACTTCAGTCTGATTTCAGGGGAAGAAAAATTGATGCCGGTAGGAGAAACACAGGTAAATTGTGCCCTTCTGAATGTGGTGCATGAAACTCCTAATGACAGTCTGACAATTCCAGGAATCCAGTGTATGAATTCAATTCTGGCTAACTTGATACTGATTATCTTCCTGTGTAGTGACTCTTGGGAGCTGACATATTCCAAATATATGTTGTATATGTGTATTCCAAATATATGTAACTATATATAGCTATATGTGAGGCAAGCTTAGAGATAAGCTGTATGGATTGTTAATCTTGAGTGATGTGCACTAATCGGGAAGTAGACACAGCTATTGCAGAAAGAGGCAGAAATTAGTGTGTGTTTGGTGCACTGTTTTACGCAGATCTGTCTCTCATGCTGTCTAAAGCAAAAAGCAACTATATTGAAAGTTGTGATCAGTAGTGCATCACATGCTTAAATTATCATTAGTCCCTTAAGACATAAGCTGCAATTCAGGATTTTACACATCAGGGAGAAGGCTGTGCTTGTCTAAATTGTCTTAAGGACCCTAAGGCTTTGAACCATGAAGTCCCACTCAGAGCAATAGGGCTCCTGAAAAGTGCTGGAAACCCCTCAAATCAAAAAGAAACAAAAAGTTTGGGAACTGCTCAGACTCAGGAATTTTGGATATGCAGCTTGTACGCTAGAACGCTAATACAGCAAGCTTCTAAGTGCATGGAAAAAAGAACCTGACCTGTGACAGCTGATTTTCTGTTGGGTCAATTAAAACAAATGCTTCAAGTGTTTATTTTCTGAGGTATTTATTTTGCATTTCTGCTTGAGATTTTGGGAGTTAACTAAGCCAATCCTCTGTCCCAAATTTATTTAGAGAAACTAAATTGAGTTTCAAAATGTTCCTGTGATGTCTGAGCAGAACCTGATTGCGCATTGTTATGTGTATTTCTGGTTTTCTTCTTTATTGCCTCGCATTTATTGGTATGTTTACGTGCAGATCTAACATATTTTGCCTGATGTTTGTGATGATGACACCAACCATCACTTGAGACCTCACATTTAGAGCCTTGGAGTGATGAAAGGGGGTTGCAGATACAGGATGAGGAACATTTTGTTTACGAGTACATTTTCTTGGCAATCAGTGGTTGTTAAAGAGAAAATGCAGATAGTCTGCTACTGGTTAAATGGTGTTTTAATGAATTAATCTCTTTCAAAATACTCAGGGCAATGGTGGGGGCTTCTACTGTAACAGGCCCAGTATATGCAAAAGCAGTAAGCGCTTGCTGCTTTACTCCCATTCTGGTGAATATCAAACAGATCCATGGTCAGGGCAGAAAGGATGATTTTTCACTAGTCAAATGTAATCTGGTTTTATTTTGTCATCTTTGAGCAGCCACGAGCTCAAATGAAATAACTGAAATCTGAGCTTATTTACATGTTGCCCACGGTGCAATACTAGCAGGTCCCTAAGGACGTGTGAAATGACAGCTGCAGAACACATTTAGATGTGAAAATATCTGTTTATAGTTGACCCTCAAAGGTGTGCCTATCCTGCTCTTGTAGAAGTTATAGGAAACGCTTGGCATGCAGGCATTTCTCCTGTTGTGTGTCCTGAATGTCTGCATGTGCGGGGCAAGCTTTCTGCTTCTAATCCAACAAGTTGGAATCAAAAGCCTTGTGCTTAGGAAAAATCCTTGCAAAAAGGAGGCTAATGTATTTGTTCGCCCTCTGGCAAATGTGCTCTTGCCGCCTGGCCCAGAGGAGACTGGCTGTGCTGAGCAGAGTTAGGATGCTCATCCTTTTTTTTTTTTTTTTTTTTTTAGTGTTGTGTCTTGCAACATTGTGCAGCGCTGCCTTGTTAATCTGTGAGCCTGTAAAATATTGCTAAGTGAGCGAGGTTAGGTCAAATCATGGCTTGGATGAGAGGCTTCTGAAGTAAATACAAAATACTGCGTGACATGGTGATAGGTGGAACTCTTCATTCCTTATAGGGAGCAAATGTGTAACGGTACAAAGTTGTGCTGGCTCTGTTATGGTCCTCTTTCAGATATGTCGTAATGTAGAGGCACTGAGCGGAGGAGTTAGTCTTTTGTCATCCTTAGTCTGTAGGGAGACTCCAGCCTGATTCCAATGACCTAATTCTACCGTGCTGAATTCTGCCTGCAGGTTTTGTTTGAGAGGGGTATTTACCTGCGTGATTCTGTAAAGCAGTGTTGTAAGATTTTTATATTTTAGCAGATTGTGTAGGGATCCTGCTGTAGTGTTCACAGATAGCTTTATGCCTTTTTTTTTATTTTATGATGGATGGCGCACACATCAGAAAAGCAGCCTGGAGACCACTTAGCTTTTCAGAGCCCGTCCCTGTTCTTGGCAGTAATGGATGTCCTGCAGGCAGGGGATGCCACAAGAAAACTGGAGGATCCTCAAGATTTCAAAACTGGGCTCTGCACATCTTGTCTTTTAAAGAAGTAATTGTTTTCTGCTTTTCCTGGGAAGAGCCTTTTGGATGTGGATATGGCTCTGGTGAAAGGAGGGGCTCCTGCTGCAGCAACTCCAGCTACCGCTGGATGCGGGAGGTGGGTTTCCCGGGCAGCTGAGCCCTCCCGGTCCCACGCTGCCTGCAGAGATTTCTGTTGCTGTGTGGGGTGAAGTGTAGGGGTTAAATACCAACTTACATTACACCAATGGGTAAATTCTTCATGAAGTACTGGGAAAATGGTCTGGGAGGGTAGTGATATCACTGAGGAAGTAATTTCTTAAGTTGAATTTGCTGTTTTTTCTTCCCACATCTATTGTTTCCCACTTCTGCCCTCAGGGCCGCAAAGCTCATCCCCCAGAGCTTTGGAGGAGGGAGACAAGTGCTTGGAAACTGGGCTGGCAGTCATCTTGTCTTCCCACACCCGATTGGGTTTAGTGACTCTTGGGATTTTCTAGGCACAGCGAGTGGTAGTGCTAACAGGACTCTGCGTTTTCCAGGGCCGGTGTTCCTGAAGTGGTGGTATTTGTAATGCTGAGGAAATGGAGTCAGCATTTTTTTTAATTAAATAACAGAGGTGTTTGAACTTGATGAATCCCTCTCGTTCCCTCTCTTTCTCACTTTCCTGCCTGCAGTGCCAGATCTCTTCGGGGAAACCCAGCCAACGCTAATCATTATTCCAGAAGCATAAACCTCCTCGGCTCTCGTGTCGTCTTGCTCCTCCCGAGAGACTGTGCTGGATGACTGTGAGCCCTTTTCCCCACCACTATGTGTTGGAAAACTTGTCACCATGACAGTTACAATACCCCAGTTTTGACACCTGACGATGGAAATCGCCGCATAATCATGAGTGTGACGAATATTGAGGGCCTTGTTTGATTCTTATTATGCTGCGGCAAAGTTTTCTACCCAAACACCATTTTAAAAGCAGAAGCACTGTAATAAAGAAACCTCCTTCCATATTCTTTCCATAGAACCTTGTCATTAAATATTCAATTAGTATGTTTTATTTTTATTCTCTTCTCCGCAGGTTCTGTATGCAGAAGAGTGTCAGACTGGTGCCAGGAGTCACACTGGATTTAATAGAGAAGTAAGCCAAATTTTATGATTCCCCCCTGTTGCTCTTAATTTCCTCATTATTTCTAGCATTTCTCTTGTTTGTCTGCGAGGAAATTTCTTTGGAAAGCTTCTTGCAGAGTCTGCACCTACAGTATTTGTCATTTCTTGCCTTACCATGTGTTGCTGAAATAAGCAGTGGCCATAAAAGTGAGCAGTCGCTCGGGGAGCAGCACTGCAGCCGGGAGTTATGGCTGCACTGGGGCTTTGCTAAGCTCGGTGAGTTGAGAGTCCTGTAGCTCTCGCTGCTTGTGCTGTCATCGTGGGCTAGCCAGAGAAATGGCAACTGCAGACGCAGATTGTGGCTGTGTTCCTGGACCTCCAGCACTGAAAAGCTGCATGCGTGTGGGTTTCGACCATGGGAGCGCTGACAGAGGAGGCGTGCTCACAGCTCTGCGAGCTGTACACCCCACGTCACCAAAACCAGCTAATGAACGGAAAAACACTCAACCGAAAATACTGTTTGTCATTTCATCACTATGCTGTCCTACTATTCTTTGTTTGATAGTGGTGTTATGTTTCAGACTTAACACCATTGAAACATGTTATAATCCTTTTATCCAAGCAATATTTGAGCATAATTACTGGTTGTCAGGCAGCTGAGGCAAACTGATTAATCTAGACAACTAGTCTTCAAATTCTACTTCAGTTTATACAAAAAAGGTGGACTTTGAAATAATAATCATTGTCCACTGTAGTGTTTGCTGGGTTTTAAGTTTTTTGTTTTTTTTTTTTTTTTTAAGGGAAACATATTCTTAAAGACAGGGTCTTTCGATGCTTGCAGCCACTAGATGCAGGAGTTCTGTGCTCCCTGCAGATTGTTTTTGAATGCTCTATTCTTGGAACATTGATACACGTGCATAAACTGTCTGGGAGTGATTAATTAAAGATCATTCATTCAATTTCTGAGAAATTTTGACTCTAGAAATACTGTTGTTGAGATTAATTAGAACTCTTCTGACACGTGGATGTCCAGAGTCCAGTGATCATCTTTTGTCTAAGATGAAAACTGCAGAATTGAAGGGCATCCTGAAAAGGGTTAGGAGAACAGGAATCTGGATAATAAACGTGAATTCTTAATGGAAATATGTTATCATACTTCCTTGTTTTTTAACAAGCTTCTGCATGGTGTAGCGAAATGCAGCAATCATTCATTGCTCATGCTGCCAATAGCAAATTATCTGTTATAGCAGAAGCAATGAGGATAAGATTGCATCAGCTAAAATTTCTTGGTTCAGTTTTTGCTTTAGTAAATCATTCCATGCTAACTTGCATGTTTTACATTCAGATGAGGTTAGAAATGCTTCTCAATGCTACTAGCTCTTCCACAATATGCATTTTAGAATAGTCAGCTCATCAGTAGTATTTAGGTATTTAATCATGCTAATTTTTAATGTGAAAATTTGATTATCCTATCTCATCTCAGTTGGGGAAGCTAAGCAATGATTCTTGTAAAGCTGTATTTCAGAGGCACTAATCTTACCAAAACAAAAATAATTTTTCAGTTTACAACTAAGATAATGGAGACAGGACCCCATCTATCAAAGGAAGTGTTAGAGCGGTTTGCAGAGATGCATCAGTCTAGGAAAAGGTCCACCACTGGAAATTGTTTTCTCTGAAAGCCATTGTGGTAGGTTTTGTTTTTCTTTTGGTTTTAAGGAGATGAGAAGCAGGAAGGAAATCTACCCGGGGTTAACCTTGCTTTGCCTATGTCCTCGAAGGTGTGCTAACAGGGTTTTTTGGTGTGAGAAGGTTAGATGGTCCTGAAGTTAAAAGCTATTTAGTGGTAGAAGGGCGCGTAGTTCCCTGACTGTTGTTTAAATGGGCAGAGTGAGAGATTGTTCTTTGGTCATCTCTGGCTGTTGGACAGCAAAGGTAAGCAATTCTTCTTGAACTGATGGGCTCATCATCAGCGTGGACTGAGATCACCTCAGGCCACTGGATAAATGTGTTCCAGAACAATGACTATATTATGTTAATTGCAATTAACAGATTGCTACAAGAGTGTGTCTAATCAAAGAACATATGGCAAGGGTCAACGAAGGTCTTGAGCCAGGTAGCTCAAGAATCTGCTTCACTGAATGCTCGGATGTGCTGCTGAGGGTTAAATACTCTTTAAATAATGGTTTACTGGCAAAAAAAAAAAAAAATTACTCATTATTCTTGATTCTTGTTGGTTAATACCACAGCACTCATGCATTCTTTAAAGGCTGTCTTCATGGAAAGCATGCCAGAAGTAGGTTCCTGTGGATATCAAATATTTAAACCTCATCATCTTAATCTGCTACATATATTAATTATAGAAAGCACATGTTTTTTATTACAGTCTCGAGATACACCTAGAATACTTCCTGGATTGCCTGTGTGTATATTGTAATTTATAATTTAGCTGTCTTTAAAACGGGGGAAAGAGTTTATATTGCAATTAAGCTGCAGACTTTGAGACTAAATTAGGCTGCACCTTCTTTGAAGGGCTCAGATTTCTAATTATCTGGGCTAAACCAGTGTCCCGATGAATAAATGTGTGGTGTATCCTGATGTGCACTTATATTACAGATCTTCTAAGATTAAGCCAAAATAATCCCTAGTTTAGAAATAAAGATCTTTGCTGGAGCCAGACAGTAAAACGTAAACAAAAATGGAAGGAAAATCAGGTTGGCGAAGCTCTAGGAATTTAGAAACCTCTGACTGCCACTTCATAAGACTCTTCAGCGGCAGCATCAGTGTCAGATATTCCTACTGCCTTGGTTGGTCTTTTCTGCTTGATCACAAGCCATCCTGTCATCTGTGCTGGCACCACTTGTTGTGTGGCTGCTGAGTGAAATGAACTGGGTCTTTGTTCTGCTTTTTAAAAATTTTGGAAAAAAATCCTAAGGAATGGTTTAACTTCGTGTAGGGTGGGAATACAAAGCTGGATGCCAAGAATCAGGGATGTACAAGAATGCTTTGATCTATACTGCTGCATTAAGCTCTCTCTTCTGAAATCACATTCTCAGGGGAGAAAGAATGGTGTATTGCCTTCCTGGGATTTTTTTCCTGGGTCCATTTTGCAGAAGGAGGGAATTCTCTAAACAAAAATCCTGGTGACCCGAGAGCTGTTCATGCTTCTGGTGGGGCCACTTAGAACCCAGGCTTTTCAAATGACCACGTGAATATGGTACCGCAGTTTACTTTCACAACTGGAAAGGAGGAGCCTAGTCGCTTGCTGTCAGGGTTTTGTGACAGAGGACCTTTTCTGAATGTCAGCTCTGCGTCACGTAGGTAGGAGCAGTGTGGGAGAAATTCGTCTTGCTGCAGTGTGTGCTGTTGCTGTTCTGAGAGGAGAGCCCATCTCTAGGCTGTCATTCACCAGCACAAAATCCATTTATAAAAATCACTAGAAATAACAAATTTGAGACTAAAATAAATTTTTGTTTCCACTTTCAGTATTGTCGAATGTCACAGACTGGAAATTATTAATGTTTTAATGTCTATTGATTATTGATGAGTAATGGTTCAGTAGGAGCTAATTTAAAGATGAACTAGGAAAAATAAAATCCCAAGATATCACAAGACAAAAGTAATGTAATTGGAGAAAATATAGAAATTATGTTGTAATATAACAAATATCTTTGGTGCATGCTCTTAGAACTTAGCTAATCAGTTGCCTTCAGGATGGTAAATTGGAGGGCAGGCGAAGGAGGGCAGCTGGTTAGTATCATAATTATTTTTTTTTCCCAGGTGGTCCCAGTAGCAAATATCAGCTACTCCAGTCCCTTTTAGTAAATTTTCCTCTGCCAGGCTGGCGTACTGCATCTTGTGGCTGGAGAGGTCTAGGATAACATTGCCTGGGACCAGACCGGAGTGACCAAGAGCAGCAGGTTGGGCTGATTGTGTTGGGTAAATGGGGGAATGCAGAGAGAGCTGGTCCCGGCTGCCCGGTCACTGCTTGGGGTTAAATGAGTATTGCTTTAGCGCTTTCCCCTCAAAGTTTAACATGAACAGCGGCTTTTTGCTAACTTACTGAAGTTGAGCACATCAGTCTCGGAAAAGAGTTTGTTGTGTGGAAAGTCACTGGGAAATGATGGGTTGTTTGAAAAAGTCAGAAGGACAAAAATTGTCAAAGTATGGTAACAATCTTACTGACTGTACTTGTGTTTAAATAAACAAAATTGTTGTTGCTGTGTAAGCAAATGAGGCCAAGTGCTAAACTGAAATTGTATTTCCAAGATACTATATTGCCTTCTAAAATACACTGCCTACCCAGTGCGAGGAAATACTGCCAGAGCTGCTGGTGTTTAGGCTTGGCACAAATTGGCAAGATTCGTAACTAGATGGAGAAAGGCATTTGATTAAAAGAAAAAAGTTCTGTTATTTTCAGCAGGACCAGACAGGGACAAACGCTGTTGCCTCTTGGGCAAGTGACTAAAAGGCAATTGAAGGCAGAATGATAGTTCTGATGTTGACAGGACCGTGGTCTCTCTGTAGCAGGTCTGTGTCATCACAGCTGCCAAAAGTTAAGATGTCTTTGCAGATATTTAATTAACCATGTGCTAGGCCAAATTCTGAAATACTGCAGCTTGTGGGTTTTTTTTATATTCATTATTTTATTTATAGTGGGAAAACTATAATTCTTGGTGTGCCTTTAGACCTAGGTTAGGCAGCTTTCAGCCCCTTTATTTTCTTCTAGAAAATTTAGCAGAAGGCGTTAGAGCATATTTCAGAATATAATTGTTTTAGTGAGTATTATTAGCCACAGTATAACAGGGATGCTGTGCCACACTACCTGTTGGTAGTATATCACTCATTAGTACTTGAGTTGAGGAAAACCTTTGCTTTTGAAGATGTTATTCTGAAAAGTTTCGTTTCTGTAATAAATCTGGTTTTATTGAAATGGAGTATTTAATTTTACTGCCATTGTTACAGGGTATCAGTCTCTAGTGTATGCAAAGCCTATTGTAAATACAAAGTGAAGATCATACTCGAAAGGATGGT